TCTCCTTCCTTCCTTCCTTCCTTCCTTCCTTCCTTCCTTCCTCCCTCCCTCCCTCCCTCCCATCCATATAAGATTTATAAAGGATCTTTTATTTGTATTATGCCAGGGTGATGCAATGGTCACAAAAATATGGAAATCAGATCAGATCCAATCTCAGCCATGAATTCCCTGTGTTGCCTCTTGATTTTCTTCCTTATCTGTAAAACTATGATTAAGAGATGGGGAAACATGTTTCCCAGGTTCCAGTTTAAAAAGTTATGATGGAAGTCCCATGGAACCCAGTGAACAACTAAATTATATTCCATTGTTTTCAACAGAATGTAGTGATAGGTTGTTTTAACTCTTTTTAATCTATTTGCTCGGGGGGGGGGGGGCTAATGAAGATCTATAAAGTGTTTCACAAATGAATAATTGTTGCTGCATAATTCAAGTGATAAGGAGATGCAAAAGGACATGCAGTAACACTGAATTCAAATAAGAAACAACCAGAAACAACTATTTTACATGTTTTCTTTAAAGAAAATAATGCTCTATCTATTTGATGTGTGTGTGTGTAATTTTAGAAACTCCAGCTGGAATAGAACAGGCAGATCTTCTGGAAGTAGGCCACCCACAACTAGAAAATTTTTGTCAGTTCCTAAATCTGAAATGCACCTTAATGTAGATGAACAAAATATGCTCCTTAGCACACCCACAACAGAATTTCCCCATTTCTTTCCCTGTTCCAATATATGCTTCCCCCTGCCATCCAGCTAATCCTTTTCCCCAAATGGGGAGGGGAGATCAAGAGAACCCCCTATTTCTGGCATCTGTCTCCCTTCAAGGAGTTCCACCTTCTCAGCAGAAGAAGGAGAAAGATGTGCTTGCGGGGTGGGGTGGGGGGGAGAAGTGCATTTATTTTCTAATCCACTCTTTAAAAAAGTATAGAGAGATAGAAAGAGACAGAGGGAGGGAGGGGAAGAGTATGTTTTGCCTGGAAGGCAATATTTCTGGAGCCAATCGGAATGTAGCATCCACCCTTTTCTGCTCCCTAATTAAAGGGTTTAAGCAAGCTGGCTGGGTTGGATTTCTTACACATTTCCCCTGGAGGACAGCAGTAGCAGCGAGAGCAGCAGCAGCAACAGCAACAGCAACAATTACTGGAGCCATGGCTGAGTAAGCCTACTCAACAGGAGGTGGTGGTGGAGGTGGAGAGGATTTGCCCAAGTTAGTCGCAAGCCTTGCACACGTTTGTTCTTTGGTTTCCTGGGTCAAGTGGTGGACCTTCCATTGGTGGGGCCTTCTCATCATGAGTGGATCCTTTGATAAGAAGATTACCAGCATTTTGACTGACATTTCCAGCTCGCTCAGTTGCCATGCAGCCACCAAGGACTCCCCTACGCTTCCCGAATCGTCTATCACAGATCTGGGATACTACAGCACCCCCCATACTCAACATGAATATTACCCCAGTCAACCTTATACTCAACCTATGAATCACTATGCATACCACCCCCAATTTAACTTCAATGGGATTGGGGGGGCTGGAACATACTCCCCTAAATCTGATTACCCTTATAGCACCTCGTATAGGCAATATGGATCTTTCCGGGATCAGCAGTTGTCCAGCCAAGAAACAGGTAAGGAAGTTTTTGAATCAGTCCAGAGTATGTGAATTTGAGTGAGTGATTGGCCCTATTTTGGGGTTCGGGGAGATTAAATGGCTTGGAATCTCCTGGAATGTGGGATCTGTTCTCCTCCACTCTGCTGAAGATATGTTAAACAATGGTGTGTGTGTGTGTGTGAGAGAGAGAGAGAGAGAGAAAGAGAGATTGCCTTGCCAGAAAGTGTCCTAGTGGAAAGAAATGAATTGGACTTGGTGTCCCTTTTTGTTGTTACATACAAGACATCCAAACTTTTCTGGTATTCTAATGTTAACCATGAAACCTTTGGATGGGATTCTGTCCCTCCTTTCCCCCATTCTTCCTTTAGAGTTTATGCTGTTTGTATAGTGCTGTTTGTATATTTCTGTAATTTTTGAAAAAAATCAATTGTAAAAATATCCATCAATATTAGGGAACTGAAATGGGAATTTGATTTCTGTGACAGCATTAGAACACAAATATATATATACATATACAATCCACCACCCACCTGCAAAAAGCAACTGAGGGACAACTGAAAACTATTTTCCATCTTGGTCCTCCTTTTTTCTTGTCCAATTCAGATTCTGCCATAAAAAAAGACTCATACAATTGGACACTTGATTTTGCAGGGCTATGAAATTCAGCAATAGAAAGTTTGAGGCTTTGCAGCTTTTTCCCTTACTGAGTGGGGATTCTCTGAAGGATCAAGGTCTGCTTTTTGCTCCCTTCCAGGATGAGGGTCAAAAAGTACAGAGTCAGCCACCCCCCCCCGCCCCCCCCCCCGCTTCCCTTGAATTATTTCTTCTGTGTTTCTGGGCAAGAAAAGGTCTGCACATTTTTTCTAATTCTGCGTGGTAGTTCATGGGTTATTTTTCACTTTGCAAAGTGCAAATGCTACTGTTGCAACAATACTTCAAATTCTGTCTTTTGTTTAAGGAAGGGAAGATTGGAATTTTTTTTCTTGGAGAAAAAAAATATCCGTGCTAACTCTGAAACTTTTTTTCCTGAGGCAAAAATCTTTTTTCCCCTTCTCCTTAAAAAAAACACACACACATTTTTTTTTCTGAAACAGTATTTCACCAAATGCGCTATTTTTTTTAGTAGCTTGTTTCTCTCCCACACACAGAACAGTGATGTGTGCAAAATTTGTTATTTTGCTGCTAAAATCTTGACACCAATGTCCACAATTTGATGCGTGTGAGGGCATTTATTTACTTTTATGAATTAAAAAACAGGGAAAGGAGTAGCATAAAAGTTGGAAAACTGAAAGACAAAATACACAACCGTGAAAACGGTAGCGTAAAGATAAAAAGGAAGAAGAATTCTATCTTTAAACAGAACTGGCATGTAGATTCTGGCTAAAGCCGTCTGAGGCCTACAACTCACGCCCTCACTCCCCACAAATATTTCAGGAAGGGAACACGGGGGTTGTGTGGTTCCAACTGTCCCGATGTAACCGGACAATGCTTCCTGCCAAGGAGAAAAAAATACATCAAGGATCTAGTGAGACAGAGAAATAACAAATTCTGTTTTTTAAAAAGGAGCTGGGTCAAAATAGAAGAATGGAGAAGTCCATTTGTGAGGCAGAAAGTTTGAGACGGAGCAGAGCAGCTAGGCTGAACCCTGCGATGGTCTCCTATATTGAACTGTGACTTGATCCTGTTAAAAATATCAGGGGAATATAAAAGAAAACTAAAAGGGGAAGGGAAGGGAGAAAGAAGAGGCTAACCAGAAAAAAAATAGAATTAATCAGAGGAAAAGTAATAAAAAGCAGGGGGTGGGGGAGAGATATCAAGCAAAAGAAGACAAGAGAGAACAAACAAAAGTTTAATCAATTTTCAAAAATCTTTCTTTTAATAGAATTCCACCTCCTCCCAATTCTCCAGTAGGTTGGATGGTAGAAAGTTTCTGAACCTCGGGAGTTTATTCTGTTTTATGCCAACAAGCAAGCAATTGAATTAACTTCTGAAGTACAAACAGGTGGATTGATTGATTCAGACAATCTTCATACAAACTATATACAGCTGCCCTTTGATATGACTTACCTAGGAGTAAATTCCACTGAACGGAGGGAGGTTTATTCTGAATATAGTTGCTCAACACCTCTCCCACGGAATCTTTTGCATAGCCCTTCGAGACCCTCCTTCATCCTAGATCTGATCCTCCTTTCTAAGAGAGAATCGGCTTTGTTAGTTAAGAATTGGAGAGTGATAAGATGGAGGCAGATGCTGGTTACTTCTTTCAGCATCTCGTTTGTGCTCCGCAAGCGCTGAGAAAAAATATCAGACCACAGAGAGGTGGACAACAGATCTTTGAAATTATTGGAAAGACAGATATGTTGTTCTGTGTTGTATTGTTGAGAATTAATGGAGGCAACAGATGCCTCCTTGAAGTGTAGAATTTGGAAGCCCACCAAGAGCAAGAGTTTATAACTATGGGAGAATTATGGCAAATTGCCTTTTTTAAATGGATCACCCTGCTGTCCACCAGCTCTCCTTATATCAGATTGTCCTTCATTCTCATCTCCAGCAGCTCAGTGACTGAGAGTTTGTATTCCTCTGCTGAAACAAAGCATGGGTTCTGCAAATGGTTCAAAGGATGTTATTTTATAAAAGCAAAGGTTTAGAAACCAGCAGTACTTTCTTTTTTGGGCATCATTGCAACACTGCTATTTGACTTCAGTTTGGGGGGTTTTTTCAGCATATTTCTTTTGTCTCACTTCTCCAGTTTCAGTGAAGGAAGAACCTGAACCTGAAGTGCGGATGGTCAATGGAAAACCCAAAAAAATCCGAAAGCCCCGCACAATTTACTCCAGCTACCAGCTGGCTGCTTTGCAAAGGCGATTCCAAAAGGCACAATACCTGGCATTGCCAGAGAGGGCAGAGTTGGCTGCACAGCTTGGACTGACCCAGACTCAGGTAAAACTTTAGAAACATGAAGGAAGGAAGACCACAAGGGGGAGAGAGAAAGAACTGTGCAGTTTTCCTTAGCCCTTTGTCTCTGTTTTTGGAAATGTGAGTGTGACAGAAATATATATCTGGGTAAAACTCCAACAAAATCTCAGGGAGCTGCAAAATTTAGTGCTTAAGACCTTGAAAATTAGGAAAAGTCCACAGTGATTTTTCAAAATGAAAAGACCAAGTTAAATAAAAAGCCAAGGATAACAAATTCTAGTTTTAGGTGCTTCTGTTTGATCTTGAGATTAATCTTTCTTTTTCATTTCATAGTCATTTGGGGTTTACAGGCTGGTTAAATTGAAATCAGTACACCAACTTCTAGTTATTAAACTTCTCCAATCCATCCATTATTCTCTTTTCCTTACGTTTTGTGAGTGATTTTTCCATATTTGTCCTCTGAAATGTCTCGCTTCTTTATCCCAGTCTCTGTGCATCCCTAGATACGTATGAGGGTTTAAAAACAAAAAAGAGTCTATTGTTGTTCAGGATTGTTAACCATTTACAGTAGATAACTGTTTGCATGCTGAGAAGTAAAAATGTTTGTGTGAATTCTGTGGTAACACAGTGATGGCTTAGGATGAAGGGGATCACAGAAATGAGGTGGTGAGTTCCTCTGTTATCATATGGAAGACAAACAATTATGTCTTTTATGTTGACAATAATTCTAATTAAGAGAAAGCATGAGCTGTCATAGATGCAAAATGTAACACTAGAACAGTAAGCAAGCTGGGACAGAGCAAAGGTGGGAAGGAGTGAAGTCATTTTCTCTGGCCTTCTAGCTCTGTTGCAGCCACTAGCCTACTTGTATCTGGCTGGGACCCAAAGATCCAGAATGGTATGCTGACTACCCAGAGAGGCGGAGGAGCATTGCTGCAGGAAACACGTGGGTGGGGCAAGGCAACTTATGTGTTTTGGCAGCTTCTCCTTTTTTTCCTCCTGAAGCCAAGTGAGCTTAAGCCAAGAGAACTGATGACTGTGAGAAGGAAGTTGGCTTGAGTGGAAAAAGAACTCATTGTTAGTCTTTAGATGAACATCAGTGAGTAGTGGGCCAACTGGTTATTGTAGGCCTCGGTGAGTCTAAGGGTTGCTAGTTGCCAACTGACAGAAGGAACAATATTCCAAGTACAATTATTTATGTTCACTGTGTGTACATTTTTTTTTTTAAAGACAACTCCTTTGCTGCTTTTTCTCATTTGTACCTTAAAAGGGATCTCATACTCACTCCCATTGTGCAAAGTAGGAACTAAGATTGAAAAATAGTTAAGATGCAAAAGAAGATTCCTTCATTTTTCAGAGCTGTGTTGAAGAGGGAATCTCAGGAAGTACTGATTCCTATGCAAGCATTACTTGCTGAAATTTCTTCTGCTTAACTGTCATTGGTGAGAAGCCCTCACTTCTTTTACATTCCTCTGCCTGAGAGACAACAACTCGCCCAGGGCCACCCAAAGTGCAGCTTAAACTGAGAATGGAACTCTCAAAATTCTAATCCAACAATCTATCTAGCTCAAGATCCTCCAGATCCTCTGGACTTCAGTTCCCAGTTTCTCTAGCAGGCCTGGCTGGTATAGACATCACCCAATACAAACTAAAAAGAAAAAGGGAAACAGTAGAGAAATGATACCCCTGTATTAAATTTACTGATTTGAGTGGTATTTCTCCTTTTCATTGCCTCAGAGCAAAGTTGCAATCTTTTGCAAAATTACTTGGGAGCAATTAACATGCAGGAGAGTTCTGGGAATCATGAATGGCTACAGTCTTATGTTCCTTGGAGCCTAGCTGATTAAAGTCAGTGGGATGTTTTTCCAAACAAGCACGGATAAGATCTCTCAGATTGAAAATATTTCTAAAATTCTTAGATTTGTTTGATAGGAGCTAAAACAGTGGGGTAATATATATGGAAGAGAATGCTGCCTTGTAAAAATAACATTTGGTACTCATCCTTTCCTTAGGCAAAATCCGAATAGTAGCACTAAAGTAAAACAAAACTAAAGACAAAATAGAAATGCTACTTTTCAAATACATGAAACCATTCAAAAGTGAGCACTAACTTTGGCTGTAATTCTATAAATGTTACCCAAGAATAAGCCTAACAATAAGTCATTCTTATTTATGATTTCTCTGTGTGGGGGATGTAGGGAGAATGGGGAATAGCAGTTTAATCAGGAAAGTAGTGGAAAGGACAGGATCTAATTTTCCAAAGCAGGACCTTCCCAGAACATACTCTAAACAGTGGTTAGTTTTAACCTAAGGGTAGCTTTTAAAAAAAAAAAGTTTTAATATGGTGACTTAGCTGTGTATTCATTTGGTTAATTTATGTGCCAGTGTATTATGAGAACCCAGAAAATGGAGTAATTGAATAGTGAAGCGCAATGCATAAACCTAGCCAGTAGGCATCCAAGTTCTCACTATAATTATAAACATTTTTAAAATACATAAATGCCCTGTTGCTGCATCCAGTTGGACCATAAAGCAAGATGCATCTTTCACTGTTTCCATTGGCTCTATTCAAGGATATCCTGAACTATAAATGAATCATACTGCTTAAGTTCACACAACTACAATGTCAGTTTCATTTTAGCAAAGTCATGTAAGAACCCAGGCTACTTGTCTTTGCTACATGGGCAATTTGCAATCCAGAGAAAGTTATCTTGGTTTACCTAAAGATGGCAATGGGAAGCAAAGATTTAGGCAATCCGTTAAATATGATAGGTAGCATATATCTAAGGCAGGACCGGCAGACTTGGACTTGCTGAATCTACATTATTGTTCATTGAAACTCCAAAATCTACCAAGATCAGAGCCAGTTGCAAAAGTCACAGAATGAAGAAACAAACCAACCCTCATGTTATCATCATTTGTAGCCTTTCTTGGTGCTGTATGTGAAGTTGTATGGTCCTAGAGTGAAACAGGATGGCAGGTTTATGAGATTAGTACAAGGCTAGAACTAAATAGCTCTGGAAATTCCCTCTAATAAATGAGGAAGTATATATGAGGCTAGGCATACCATATCTTGGCTGCAAAGATTTAGGCAACCATGAGATGGCAGCAAAAAGATACAGGAAACTGTCTTTACTGCCATCTAGTGGTCATCCAGATTTATGCAGCCTAGATATGCCTACATGAAAGAAAGAGAGAAATAATACACAAGGCTGGATTGCCAAATAGTACATTAACTCCTTGGTTGTCAGGGCTTAACTGGCTATCTCTTTAATCAGGATAAAATTCAATAACATAATAAATTAGACTATAATCCAATTATAATAAAATAAAAGTCTTAATCTGAGCCTATCTTCATGAGATTCTTTAAAGCCCAACCTTAGAATCTGTAAAGTTATATAAAAGGTATCTCCTTTGAGTATCTCAACATGCCTTTTCTTCATCATTCATTTTTTACAGATTGTTCTCAAATAACTTAACTAGGTGGCTTGGTTTTCTCATCTTAGGTTTTGAATACTTACGCTTTTCTATATATATATAAAAATCCATATGAGTAACATGCATATTTAGATTTAGTTCCATAGATATCTAGCAAAGATCCTGAAGTTGAAATATTAGATCTCTAGCCCTTTCTGAGTCCTGGATATGTTTGCCTGGAATTACATTTGCTAATAATGTCCTTTGGATTGACTGTTTGATTGAAATAATCATTAGCTGGATCTGGACATAGTCATACCTAGAACAGACCCTTTGACAGGAGTGGCACTTCAGTTAATCATGACTTATTTAAGTTCAATTTATTGTAATAGTTCTGCTCTAAACATGATTTGATCTGGATCCCACTCACTATATTCAGTGAGCCTTATCCCCAGGTAAGTATGAAGAAGGTCATAGCCTTCCTTTAAATCAGTGTTTTTCAAACTTGGCAACTTTAAGATGTGTGGACTTCAACTCCCTTAATTCCCCAGCCAACATGGGAGCTGAAGTCCACACATCTTAAAGTTGCCAAGTTTGAAAAACACTGATTTAAATAAATGATTAGGAGAGAAGATATGGTGTTTCATTTTAAAAGATGGAAGTTCCTTTGTCCTTTTAAATCAGAGAGCAGTGCTTTGGTGTTGGTTGGACTTTCTCTCATCAGTAGTAGCCAGCATGGCAAAAAATCAGGGTTGATTGGAATCATAGTCCAGCATGTGGAGGGTTCAGGGCATCGTTTTAATACATAGTATTTGTAAACTGGTAGGTTTATCCACTAAAAAGAAAGCCTCCTTGATCAACCCTTATATAAAATGAGGGGATTCTGTCTCCTTCCAAAATAATTTTCCTTAGTTATTCTTGCTGCTGTAGTTTAGTTTGGCAGTAGCTGGAGGACTGTACCTCCTGATGTTGACTGCAAATTGATTTAAAGGCCGCAGTATATTGAGGCAATAGGATGGTGCAGACAGCTGTTTCTTTTCTGACTCCTTTCTTTTTCTTTCTCTCTTTCTCTCCCTCCCCCACCCCCCAAATATACAATATAGGCTCAAAGTAGGTTTTTTCATTGTCCTCACCACAGATCAATCCTAGAGCCTTTTCCTCTTCAAAACCAAAGTTCCCTTCTAAAAAGTGTGCTATCAGAATAAATGCTGTTCTGCATGTGCAAGTGGCCTTTGGGTGTCATAAAGCATCTATCTATCTATCTATCTATCTATCTATCTATCTATCTATCTATCTATCTATCTACCTACCTACCTACCTACCTACTTACCTACCTACCTACCTATGGCATGTGCAGAGTAGGGGTCTGTATTCTACCTCAGTGGTCTGAGATTACAGAGAAGAACTGACAGGCAGGATAGAGACATTTGCCTCTTTAGAAGAAAGAAGTCCTCTATAGCAGTGTTCCTCAACCTTGGCAGCTTGAAGATGTGTGGACTTCAATTCCCAGAATTCCCCAGCCAGCATAGGCAGCACATATCTTCAAGCTGCCAAGGTTGAGGAACACTGCTCTATAGTCCTGCTTCCCTCATTCTTTTGGCCATTTTTTCCATGCCTTAGAGAGGAGAGTGAGTGTGTTCTCTAAGATATATTTTTATATATAACATGTGGGAAATGCACTGCCTCTTCCTGATGTAACTTGCTTTTCAAAATATTTCCAGGGTAGGAGAGGAAAAGCGACTGAGAAAGAATGAGACTGAGATTTGTCCATATTAGAAAAGTGTGAATTAGTTACGGTTAAGTTGTTTTAAGCGTAACTAACAGCAAAAGTTGTTTTAGCAGTGCCTCAGAAGATTAAGGGCCTCAGCAGGTAAACCCATTTGTGAGAATGACTTTTTCTTTTCTCAATCATAGTTCAGAAGAAAGGACACATTTGGATGGTCCCCAGAGTAGAAAGGTGGCATTTATCACAAGCTTGGATTTTAGGCAAACCTGGATATAGTTCTGTAGAGATGTTACCTCTTAATTAATCTGAGGAAAACTAAACTCTTTGGGCTCCTATTAAAATATTATGGCCTTTTGTCAAATGCTCACTCACCATGCTCAACATGATATATTTAAACAACTGTAAACCAAACATCATGTGTGATTGGTGATACATATATGCACACACCCAACAGAGTTGTCTTCCTCTGTTTTAGCTCCCACATTCAGACATGAAGCTACCTTGTTTGTCATCCTCTCCCACAAGCCTTCCCTCCTAAGCAGGTCAGTGAGGGGCTGGTAAAGAAGCAGGACCGGAATGTGGAGCTGGCCAAGCACCCTGAGGATAACAAGGCTTCTTAATTGCTTTGATCTAAATTAAGGGAGCAAGTTGGCGTGCTTCCGGATTCTGATAGGTCAAGAGCATAGCATAGTGGTGGCAACCTGACACATCGAAAATTGCACCCAACAAAATGCTCTTAGGAGGTACAGATGAGTTTTTGTTCCGACTAACACAGACTGCCCCATGACAGTCAGGGAGGAATTTTCCCCTAGAGTCATCATGGTCAGTGACCCAAGGTTTTTTTGTTTGGATTTTTTTTTTTTTGGGGTGGCCTAATGCTTTGCTCACTTGTCTGAATCATCTGAAATTTTGCCCATACAGGAGTGGTTTTGCTCCTGTTGAATATGAGATGGCCATGTGATTGTCAAAGCAAGAATTTCCTCCCCTCCCCAGGTGACCACTGGAGACAGATTGCATTTTCTTCCATGCTTAGCTTGCTTGAATCATCTTGAACAGTGTTGCATTGCATGTATCTGCTACTTGCATAAATACATTGTGTAGTATGGATTTCATAAACCAGCCTCCTCCAGAGGTATTAGACTATAATTCTAATATATGACAAATGAGGTGGTAGTCTATCACTTTTGGAAGGCAGAAGTTTAGGGGCAGGTCTCAAAGGCTTCTCTAGTGGTTTGATGATCTTAGGGCAGAGAAAAGTCAACTTTAGTCTTGTGGAATCTTCATTTTAATAGAACCCTCAAGATCCACCAGTCAGAGCTTTTTGCCAGCAACAAATACTTATAATTAAATAATTATGAATCTGAGAATCTGTTCTGAGAATCAGAACTGTATGAAGCTTTCTGTCTTTTCATATATTTTCTACTCCACCATCCCCAATTTTGGTTTCTTTAAACTTTCATTTCTGTGCTGTAAATTTTAGTTGGATGGTAGTCATTTTATTACTGCTATTGTTAAATAATTGGAAAACAGAAATTCTTAATGAACTGAAGCTGTCCCCAGAGATTGTCTTTTTCCAAACTCTTAATATGAATGATCCCTGAACTGGTATCCCATGAATGTGTATATTCCAGATCATTACGTAGACCTATAGAGCAAAATGCATAAATTGTATAGTTCTGCAAATTAACACTGTAGTTCAGTGGCCAAATGTTTCTTGTTTTCCCTGCCCAAATTTTATACTGTCAGTGGTACTTTTCTCCAGGTATCACCAAGATGTATGGGCTGCGAGTTTCTCACTTGTCTTAATTAAAATATGTCAACATATACTACAGAAGTCTCATCACTTTCAGACTTAGTTTGGTAGGACCTTTTCTAAGGTCAGAGTTTAGAAAATGAAAGAAATACCCAGAATGTCTTTTTCTTTGGACATGAGGGGGAGCTCTTTCTTTAATCTTGATAGATTTGAATAATATCTCTGTGTTGATCAGTTGTCCTTTCACCTCTGCTTTAGCATCTCTTTTCTGTTCTTTCGGCTGTCTCACATACACGCATACATACATACACTCAGTGGTTTAGCATAGTTCCTTCCTTTATATACTATTGTCCCTCTAAACTGGAATATTGTTGGAGAGATTATCTATTAAACATTTACTAGAAAAATGTTCTGACAGATTGTACCTTTTCACCTTGAGCAGAAGTAGATCTGATGCACCTTTCCTGAACCTAAAAATATCCAGAAGTGCCTTTCCCATTCTGGGGTTTTGATAGTTGAAGTCAAATACATATGAAAAGTACCAGACTGAGAGAAGCTCCTCTGTTATAAACAATTTGTGAGAATTTTGGATTATTTCAAATTAAATCATCTGGTCAGTTCTTGTGAGTTCACAATCCTATCCTTTCTCAGATTAAAGAGTAGTCTGACAGTAAATACAGCTACAATTTAATTGACTGCTCAGAGTAGAAACGTGACAGCTTCATAGTACTGGTTACCAACTGGAGAGAGATTTTCCCTGTCCCCAAAAGAAATATGGATGTTTCCCAATTAAACACAACAGACTCTGTTCCTATCTCTTCCTGCTTCCTTGTTTTGTTCAGAAATAATTTCTCTCTCTCCTATCTTTGATCCTTTGTTCTTTCTTCCCACCCGCCACCCACTTTCTTTTGTTTTTCTTATACTCTTTCGCTAAAGTAGGATGTGGATGGAGTCACACAACTCTAAAATGATATTGGGAAGACTTCCAGCCAGCTAGGCCACTGTTCTAGCCCTGCCCTAAGTTTCATCATTCCAGTCCTCCCAATCCCAATGTTTTAGCATCCTTGAAAGACTTGTAAAACCTTTTGAGCAAGCTTGTCACCTGATATTTTTGCAACGATCCACAGTTCCCTGCTTCTTTCAACAAATCAGTTGGTAGACCATTTTAGAAACTAGCATGTAGTCCCTTTTTTCATATGGAATGGGGGATATGCTTATTTTATTCTGCCCATTTCCTTGAAGGAGTTTGAAGCAGAGGCCATAGTCATCGTTCTGATTTATTCTCACAATATTTCTGCATTTTAGGGTCAGGGTGAGGGATAGTAACTAGATTCACTGATTATGCTAAGTCAAAACTAAACGAAGTATGGCTTAGCATGATCTCTAAAGTTAGGCATAATTGTGGGTCATGGTTTAATGCAATGTGTGAACCCTCCCCCTGAATCAGATATTTGACCTGTCTAATCTGGTCTGCATGGGTTAGCAATAGCTCTCCTGAGTTTCAGAAGAAAGTCTTTTCTAGCCTTTCCTGAAAATTCCAAGATTTGAGCTTGCTGTCTACTTCATTCAAAGCCTCGGATGTGCCCAACCACAGAGCCACAGCGCTTCCCTTGAATTGGATAAGTAATACTTTTCCTTGTGCTGATGGAGAAAGTGCAGAATCCCCTCGCAGAGGGTTTATTGTTGGCGGGAAAAGGACTAGCTTAGAGTCACATGTGGATACAGCATATTCTACAAATTAAATCATGTTCTCTCTTTCTTCAGGTGAAAATCTGGTTCCAGAATCGAAGATCCAAGTTTAAGAAATTGTACAAAAATGGAGAGGTCCCCTTGGAACACAGCCCAAATAACAGTGACTCCATGGCTTGCAATTCTCCACCCTCTCCCACTCTCTGGGACAATAACACTCATAACAACCCAGCCAGCAGGAGCCAGATCCCCCAGCCACTCTCTTATAACTCTCCCCCAAGCTACCTGGAAGATCACAATTCTTGGTTCCATCATCAGAACCTGAGCGGGCCTCACATACAACAACAGGGACCTCCGCCCACTTCTGGCTCTATGCATCACCCATCTCCAGGGCCTCCTCCCAATCCTGGAGCGGTTTATTAACCTCCTTTCCCTCCTCAATGAAACCAGTGGAGCAGGAAAAAAGGAATGAGGGAGAGGGAGACAGAGAGGGAGAAGCAGACAGAAGGCAACAAGTTAAAACTCTTTGATGTGTTTCACAGGACATGTACACATTCCATCTCATCTCAGGAACAAGTGAACTGCAGCAGGGTTAAGACATTTGGGAGACCATTTGGGGGAAAAAAGGAAATGTGAAAGGGAGAGAAACTGCTTGCAGCCTATGTTGTATCTCAACCAAATCGGTTTCATCAAGAACTACGTTACCAACTTCCTGGATGATTTATCTCTGGGCTAATTGTTCCCCATCACCACCATCAGCTTTGTTTACAAGACATATGGTTGGGTGGCTCTCGGCATGGTTAGAGAAGAGCAAAGAGCTGCATGGCAATGATACCACTGCTTTCCTATATCCTTCTTTTCTCTAGTTCTGTTGGATTTGTTTTATTTTATTTGTTGATGTCCTCCCCAAGCAGAGTGGTTTTGAGAGGTATCAACTTAATGTGCCCTCTGAAAGATCTGGCATGGCTCCAAATACCAATCAGTCATTGACACCTGTGACAGCAATCAGATTGAGTTATTACTCATCCATCCAGTTAGGAATGGGGAACAATGTACGATATCCACCTCTCTCTCATTTTTACACACCTCCTTGGAAATGCTATCCTATTAGAAATTATAGCAATGTTTTACATAATGAAAGGGAGAGGTAGATGTCAACAACTTTTAATAGGATAGATTTTGTAATCAATTTAGGGTTAAAGTCAATTCTTAGTCATGTAGACGTTATGTAAAATTGGTCAGTATATAGCGTTAATTTAGTGCTACTGGCTAGCACAGAAAACAGAAAAAGGGTCAGAGAACTTGGAAAGAAACAATTCTGATCTTAGCAATGCTTGTTTTGGATTTATACTAAAAGCACTCCAGGGGGTTTATTCAAGATTAGAAGGAAAAAGAGAAAACTTTTGTACTGGTTTTTCAGCTGGTGATAGTCAGAAGAGAAAAGAAAAAAAAGTGACCCCAGTTATACTAGCCTTGGCTTGAGTGTTTGGGATAGACGCTTCATACAGTAAAACCAAATGAAGAACAGTTCTAATACTCAAGGGAACAAAAGAATCTGATCTCCTTTATAATTCTGGGCTCACGCATTGTGCTAAACCAAGGTTTGTTTTAACCATTGTTTGTTGAGTAAACTCTAGTAGCCTGATTCACTGAACATTAAATCACAAGTCATGGTTAACAAATCAGAATTTCTGGATTCATTCAACATGCTAAATCAAAACCTAACATATTGCAATAATTGGGCTCAGTGTACAAAGTCATGGCGTAACCATGTTTTGCCCAATGAACCTTAGTCATGGATTTATACAAAATGGTAAATGATAAACCCAAGTTTACAAACCACTGTAGCTGGGTTTGTATAGCAATCTAAGTTAAAATCAAACACAACACAAACCTTAACACAAGGTATAAATTCTATAATTATGACTTAGCCTGATCTGTGAACCAGGTTTGAAGCTCTTCACTCGAGTAACTCATAAGTTACATTGTAGAAATGCTAATTATACACAGAATTGGGACATCAAAGGTGTGGATTCTCTGCTCCAGGCTAACTACAGGAAACTAGGTTGGCAAAGGTTGTATCAAGGAATGGAGAGACCATAGAGAAAAAGAAAAAGAGTGCCAGTCATCATAGGTAATTCCAGGTGTACAATAGAGTAAGGCTGCATCTGATGCCAGTTGAGAATCTGACCTTCATTTAGTTTTTTTTTTTTTTTAAGGTTGCAGGAGGAGAAATGTTTTATTTAAAAGTTAGGGAGATATTTAAAATACTTCAGAATAATTTAAGTTATTTTTTTTAATAAAGTGAAAGTTGTTTGTTGCTCTACTTAAGTCATTTTAAGCTATTGTCAAAGAGGAAAGCTTATTTTTTAAAGAAAAAGCAAGTACAAATCCATCTTGGATATTTTTTTAAGTAAACAAAGCTGTGTGGGTTTTTTTTTAAAAAAGCTGCAATTTGAATAAGCATTCTCTTATGTTGTACAGTGTCAAGGTTGATATTTATGTTGCCTTGTATAATAAATAAGGAGAGAAGGGTGAGGGGAATGTACATATGGCTAATTTGTATAAAGCTTATTTTAAATTTAAAAAAAACTTTTTTTCTTTTTTAAATCTTAGGGAAAAGAAAAAAAATCATCTCACTGAGATGAAAACTTTGCTTGAGCTTCTCTTCTGCTTTGGTAGCAAACAGAACCTTTCTGTATAATGTTAATAAAATATTTTTGAACCTCACAGAATAAGACTTTATTTTTGTTCAAGCAGCTGTGATGGAGGAGTATGGATTTTGAAAATGTAGATCCAGAAACATTCTTTTACAAATATCTGGCAATACTTTTGCAACAGTATTCCATTTCCCTAGAATTCTCAATATCTCATTCTCTGGAAACTCTTATCCAGGATTCAACAACCAAAGCTTTGTAAGACACATCCTGCAAGAATAAAGTTCAAATGTACCATCCATTTAGATAACAATATAGGGTATTCTGGGGCTGATTCTCACCATTGCCTCTTCAGACAATGGCTGTTATTCAGTGTATGGAAAAAGTTTCCCATCTGTACTACAGCAAACTTGCAAATCTGTCCATAGATTCTGTCTGAAATGTGGCTTGATCTCTAATGTCTACAGCTCCATTCAAGTGCTATGTAATCTGAGAAGAGCAATCTCAAATCTATTTCTTTTCTTCCTTGAAGTTATTCTCATTTCAGGATAGTGCCAACTTGCATAAAATATTTTAACACATGCCATATATGGGACTATAGTGGAATCTATGAGAGAATATATGGAAATATGGCAATTTGAATAGTCATTTTCAAATGATTTGCCTGATGTCTTTAACCTGATGTTGTAAAGTTCTGTTGATCTACAAATCCCTGAATTTCCAAATTGAATTTGGGGAGTTAGCACATCTGGACACTAACAGTTGGGAAATATGACTTTATTGTTCATCATAGCAATATCAGCTTCAGGGACACATCAGCAATGTTGACAGAGGTAGTGTAGGTTACACCAACTGCCATAAGCAGAAGGTTCTGGGTTTAAGATATCCAGTGCTTAGTTGACATTATGAAACTTACTCTGTCTTGTGCAAAGTGCAGTGTTCAAGAGGGATCATAAAAATTGGATCTCAACCATTCTTCTTTTAAGCTACATTTGAGAAAACAATATGAATGGAGAAAAGTCTACCTGAGCTGGATAATTAAAAAGGTTTCCTGAAAGGGTAGAAAGACAGGATGAATTCACTTCTTTCAGACTGGTTTTGTACCGCACATTTTTTCTGGAAGCATTTGTAGCCTTCTAGAACCCTTAGGAGTTAAAGCAGATACAAATGTTTCAAATGAAATAGATCCAGTGAGACTAGCAGCACAGAAACACATCCATGGTTGCTGTTGGGGTTGCAACAACCTAATAGAGCCTGCTGCTTTCCTTGGATCTTCATTTATTATGGCTGGTTGCACAGTCAGCCAGATGATATTATTATCATTATCATTATCATTATTATTTAGCTACAGCAATTATTAATGTAAACACAGGGAGACATATCAGATTCCTCAACCCTGTTGGAGACTACAGTGAATGAACCTGAAGAATGGTTGAAAAAATGGAGGAGACTGTGAAACTATGACTTGAGAACTTTGAGGAGCACTAACAATGTATGTCTGTAGAAGTATGTCTAACATACTGTTAGAAACAGTAGTAACTAACTGTTAACAATCCCTAGGGCATACAGGTCCCCCTGTATCTTTGGGTGTATGGGCACATTTAGAATTTTGAAATATATTCTGGGCATTCTCACAAAATATTTGCCATGATGGGTCTGTTTAATCACAAAACACTGATATAACAACAGGAAAAAAAGCAAGGTGCTGTAGACACCAAAATAATGTGGGATCCAAAGGTATTGTTGGACATAAAGTTTGTGTTTAAGACTAGATTTTGTTTTTGCAGCATGATAGCTTCCCTTTAATTTTGAAATTAAAAGCAATCTTTAAAAATAGGTAAGGCACAAGAGCTTGAAGAGCACCAAGGAACATATCTGCAAGCTCGCTTAACTTACCCTATTTATTTTAAAAGATAGTTTTTCATCTCAAAATGAAGGAGACGTGACCATGCTGTAAAAACATTGCTACCCCAGGTGCCATTTTGGGGATCCAGATCTCAGGGTCTCTTTCACTGTTAACATAATAGACACCACGGTGGTCACTAGCAACTAGTAGATATGGCAGTAAGTATATCCAGAATGACAGGAAAAACTAGTTAGAATAAAGGCTATTGCCAAGAGTCAAATATATGTTGAAATTGTGGGGAAACCTTTGTAACCATCAGGTATCCTTGAAACTGATAGGCAAATACCCAAAAGAGAATGCTTTAAAGATGTTTATAGTGCAAAGATGTAGAAGGGGATTGTTTTTGCCTAGCTAATGTTGACTTGACATATTAGCTTTCTACATGCAGGGAGACTGATGATTATTTGTTTCTTTGTTGGATTTATTGGAGCATATACACTTTTAAGTAGGTGGGTCAAATACCAGATGAATAGAATCACAAATTGTAACCAGGTTATAGTGAGTAGGCAACCAAGAGTGTTATCATAACTTGCAGGACCTGAGAGAGCTCCAAAGCAGTTTTGATGTTGCTCCAGTTGGAAGCTTGGAACCGCAGAAGATCTTCTAGAGATGTTTCCAGTATCTGAAGAGAGCAAGAGTTTGGGGCACTTGGTAAGCTGATGCAGAAGGAAATTCAGGTTCTTCCTCAATACATTTAGCTTTAATAAATGAACTTAAGAATGATGGCCCAGTGAAAAGCTTGCTTCTTCAGGAAGATCATATTAATTAAATCAAATCCTAAGGACTGAGGTCTCTTCTGCCTGAAGCTGAGCTCATGGCAGAAATGTTTGGAATAGGCAGAAAGACTGCATATTTAGGTA